GTGTGTGTGTGTGTGTGTGTGTGTGTGTGTGTGTGTGTGTGTGTACAGAGAGACAGAGACAGAGGCAGAGGCAGAGAGATAGACACACACAGAGACAGAGAGAAAGAGATGGAGACAGAGAGTTAGACAAGTTCTACGAGTTGGCCATATAACTGCAGAGAATAATCTGAATAATATACATTCTTCATCCACTTGGTTGTCTTGTGTAGATAGACTACTATTTGAGTGATTATGGATTTCCTTGAGCCTCTGAAATATCAGGAGACTGGGTTCATTCATCACAATGTCATCTGCAAACAGGAGCATCTGCAGGACTTTGCAATGTATAGGGAGCCCCTCTTTTATTTAAACTCTGTTACCATCAGCTTCCATGACAGAGACAAGCATTTTTGGCAAGCAAACATTTCCTAATTTTGTCCCTTATTTGATATTGGTAATCAGAAAGTCATAGCAAAGCTATTTCTATTGTTACATATTTCAAGGAATCTCATATGATTTTTATATGTAAATGGGAAATACTTAGTTAGAAGCGAACCTTACTGGGGGTGGTAATTTGCCCTACTGAATCATATCCTTTTATACATTTATGTTTTTTAACTTTTTATTTATATCTTTTGTTTTTACATTACCATCATTTCCAAATATACTCTTCTTCCCTAGCCAGAGAGCCATCCCCAGTTACAAAGAATGAAAAGAGAAGGGGAAAAAATCAGTTTAGCAAGATCAGCCAACAGAATATGACAGTATTCTGTATATATTCACAGACCATCACCTGTGCAAAGAGGTGAGAGGGAAATGCATTTTCTCATCTCTTCTTCAGGGATAAGCTTGGTCGTTATAATTATGCAGTGTTCTGTTTCCTGATTTTGTTGTTGTTATTTCCATTTCCATTGTTGTCTTTTTGTACATTGTTCTGTGGTTCTGTTTGTCTTGCCCACGCTTCTGTGTAATCTTCGTAGTTTTTGTTCCTTTTGGAACAGTAACGTTCTATTATATTCATGTACTATAGTTTGTTTAACTGACATCCATTTAAGGAGCACCCACTTTGTTTCCAGTTTTTTGCCACAAATAAAAGTGCTATCGTGAATATTTTGGTTTAAATAGGACTTTTTTTTTAAAAAAATGACTACCTTAGGGTGCATGCATAGCAATAAGATGTCTAGGTAAGGACATTTTAGCTACTATTTTTGACACAATCCCAAATTGGTTTCTAGATTGTCTGGCTCAATTCACAGCTCCAGCAACAGTGTGTTAGTGTGCCTGTCTTTCCATAGCCTTTACAACATAGACTATTCTCATCTTTTCTTATCTTTGCCAATTTGTTTGGTATGAGGTAATACCTCAGAGTTGTTTTGATTTGCATTTCTTTTATTGTTAGTGATTTGGAATAATCTTTCATATGGCTGCTAATAGTTTGCAGTTCTTCTTTTGAAAATCTTAGAATCTTAGATTTAGTCCTGAGAGGGATCTTAGGGGCCATCTGGTTCTCTTCATTTTATAGATGAGAAAACTAAGACTCTGAGGAGGGAAGTGATTTACCCAAGGTCACATAGAGAGTATGTGACAAAACTGGGATTTGAGCCCTGGTCTTCTCAATCAAAACCCTGCACACTTTCTACTGCATGCTGCCTTTCTGGTTTAAGAAGAGTAAGAAATAAGGAGAGATGGAATGATAGGAGATTGTGATGGGATTAGATAAATTTGAATAAAATGAATCTCAGAGGAGAATTTGTTGAATGATGGTATCAAAGAAATAGTCTAGAACTGGAAGTGGAGGAGGTTGTTAAGGAATATTCTGACTCTCCCATTTGGGATGAGTATCAGAGAAATGTAACCAGTTCTGGAAAGAGTAACAAGGGCTGCATTATAACCTAGAGAGGGGTATTTGTGGTAGGACCCAGGTATTCAAATGAGTGTCAGACGATGAAAGGAGCATGAAAGGAAGAAATCTAAAAAGCTGATTAACTATAGAGTAGGAGTTCCAGAGGGCACAGTGGAGCAGGTACAGAGTAGGACATTATGGAGGAGGGGAGGTAGGATTGTGGTTGATATGAGAGGACGAGAGTGAGCAGTAGAATTTAGAGAGGAAGGTTTGTTCTTTGGCAGTCAGGAAATCAGTATCACAAGAATTAAAAGGGTAAGGGAATAGGAGTTTACTAACCATTGAGCAATGAACCTAGGCAGAGTATCAGTGGATATGAGAAGCTCTGCTGATGAAGGCGGCAGTTAAGTAGAATATGCAAAGACATGATGAGTCCTTCATCTGACACAGTGACATGATATTCTTTCCCTGAGTTTTATCCATGTTGGAATAGCCTGGTGTATCTTGGATGCCAGATCTTTATCAGAAATATCTGGTTCAAATTTTTACCACTTAACAGCCTCTTTTTTTATTCTGATTGCATTGATTCTGTTTGGGCAAAAGCTTTGCAATTTCATGTAACTAAAATGATCTATTTTGTCTTTTCTGAGTACCTCTATACCTTGTTTGGTAAAGAATGATCCACCTAGACATAGCTGTGAAAAGTACTTGATCAGAGAGGTACCATAATACTATCGTATACTTAAAATACTACAGTCTAGTGTAAAAATAACTTTTATATGCACTGGGAAACCAAAAAATTCATGTGATTCACTTTTTTGTGATATTTGCTTTGTTGTGGTAGTATGGAACCAAATCCACAATATCTTTCAACGTATGCCGTAGGGAAAATACTTGGAGTCTGGAAGGTGGAGTATCTAGTTTGAGGAACAGCAAGGCCAGCATCATTGGATCACGGAGTATGTGCAAGGGAATAAGGTGCAAGAAGATTGGAAAGGTAGGAAGGGAGCAGGTTATAAAGGGATTTAAAAGCCAAATAGAATTTTATATTTCCTCATGGAAGTAATAGGGTGCCATGGGAGTTCACTGAAAATGGGAGAGTGATAACATGGTCAGATCTGCCTTTAGGAAGATCAGTTTGATAGTTGAGTGGAAGGTGTGCTGGAGTGGAAAGAGACTCAGAAAGGGAAGTCAACCTGCAATAGTACAGATATGAGGTAATGAGGGTCTGCACCACTACAGCAGCAGTGTCAGAGGAGTGAAGGGGGGCATATATGAGAGCTATTATGAGGGTAGAAATAACAGGACTGTACAACTGATTGGATATGTCTAGTGTGAGAGGGTATAGTTGGGGATGACCCCCAGGTTGTAATCCTACATGATTAGGAGGAGGCTAATTCAACAGTTGAAGGAGGCTCCCTCGCATGAATTGTCTATCATTTCATATTGACTAAGCATCAAAAAGTGCACCTAGACCCCCTCACAGTTATTTTTTACTTATGCAATAAAGAAGTAATACCAATAGCCTGAGTTTTTAGTCTCTTGAGCTAATCAAGTCTTGAGGATGGTCCAGACTGGTGTCTTTAGACAACTCATTTTTTTTTTTGTTCTCCTCAGTATTGTTTCCATCATTTCTACCCCAGCAACTAGTTACTCCCTGTTGATGAGAATCAGATCCAGAATAGAATTTGCTCTTTTTGGTTTCCCTACCTTTTGAAAGATGAAATTCTCATTAAAGCAATATATAAGCAGAATATATAGTTTTAAAATAAAGTTATACAGTTATTTTCCCCTTCCTCATCTCCCTCCCCCTCCCCCCATGGACATTATACAAGTGACATTCAAACAATAAGAATAATAACCCAGATACATGTAGTACTTTGCAGTTTACAAAGCACTATATAGACCAGGGGTCCTCAGTCTGGGGACCAAGATCCAAAGGGGTCCATGGATAGATTTCACTGGGGCCATGAACTTGCATGGGACAAAAATTGCAACCTTTAACTGAAATTTAGTGATTGTGAATTCCTAAAAACTACAGCAAAATGATCAAGAGAAGGAGTCCATAGACTTCACCAGACTGCCAAAGGAGTCCACGACACAAAAAAGATTGAAAATTCCTAGTGGAGACAATAGTTCTGGGGGCTCAAAGACCTATTTTACCTACTGCCAGGAGCTCTACAAGACCTTTAATTTGTGCATTAGAATTGTGTGTTATTCTATGTCTAAGGTCATACCCCAATAGAAAAATGGATAAAGGCTATATAGGCAATAGAGAACAACTACTATCATTTGGAAATCTATGAAGGTTTTGATGTTATAAAGAGATCTTCATACTTGAAAAAGATTAAGAACCACTGGCTTGGACTCCTTGAGACACTCAGGAAGCAATGAAATGGTAAGATCCCTAGACTTTTGGTCTCAAACCCTATTTTCTCATTACAGTTCTGCCCTTTGCTAACCTTAGGCACATGACCTTAGGCAAATGATTTTACCTTTCCAGGCCTCACTTTTCCTCACTTGTAAGGTGAAGGGATTGTAATAGATAGCTGATGTTTGTATACCTTTGTGAATTGCAGTGACTGAAAACAAATACTATGTGGTGTCAATCCTTCTGCTGCAGGGCTTCAGATGACTGACACATAATCCATTCATTGAGGGCCCTACTTGAAACCTGTCTAGTTTGGTAGGATCTGCTGCAGAATTTCTACTCTATTGGCATAGTCACTGCCATCCAGGAGCCAACCAAGTCACCTCTCCATTGCAACAAGGCATTGAAGTAGGATCTTGATGGGAATTTGTTCCTGAGTCATATGATTGTTAAAACCACTATACTACATCTCAGACCTTCTTCCTTGAGAGTTCCTTATCCTTTTCCAAGGCTGTCAGCTTCTTCCCTCACCCCAGGAGCAAGCAGTATAATTTCCAATGGGGCTGCAGCAGGAATATGTCATTTCAGGTGTCTATGGTGTTTGAAGATGTTGCTGTGTACCTCACTCAGGAGGAGTGGGACCATCTGGGCCCTGCTCAGAGGGACCTCTACAGAGATGTGATGCTGGAGAATTATAGCAATTTGATCTCCTTGGGTAAGGCTTCTCCCATGGGACTCAGAACTGATATTATTTTGTCTGAAGGGCTCAGTTGGGTTTGGGCTTAGAATTCAGGGATCAGAGATTTTCAGTCCCATCTATGCTCAGAGACAAGATATTTCTACTCCCTGTACTCCATAGACAAGTAGTAATAGTCCTGTCCTATGTGGATTTGGAAATGAACGTCTTCATTGAACTCTCTCTGAGTTCATATATTTCTGACCCCTGAATTCTCTGTATAAATCCTGACCTCACTGCCATAAACCCAGGGTGCTCCCCACGGGTTCAGTGAAGACATGGCCAGAAATAGGAAGTTCCCATACTCTTTGGGAGAATGAGCTCATGAAGTAATTGTTTCCTGTGCACACAGATCACCATTTCCTTGACTAGCCTTCTCCCCAAAGTCCCTGCCTGCAAGCACAGGTTTTCCCTGCACTAGCCTATCATGTCCTCTCTTGAGATTGTCCTTCTCTTTCCCCTGTAGACCCAAAGGCTAGGATTGAATGTAGGACAGCTTAATGTACCCAGCACAAATTACCAGGTCTAGTTTCCTTCTCTACAAACAGGGTTTACAGCATCTAAACCTGATGTGATCTCCCAGCTGGAGCAAGGGGATGAACCATGGGTCCTGGACACACAGGCAGCTGAGAGGAAAGACATCCTAAGTATTGACTGTTCAGGTAAGTGAGTGAATTAGGACCTTTCATTCAGTCACTGAAAATGCATTTTCTAAACATTTGTGTGATTGGATACTGAGTAACATTGCCTAGGCTGAGTTCAAAGACAGTAGAAAATTGAGTTTACCCTGAGAGAGCTCACTGCTAGGACATCAGAAATAACTGTAAACCAGTTAAAAACAAAATAAGGAACAGTTTAAGATGTACCTGCATGGAATCATACAATTATAGTTGGAGAGCTAGAAGGGGTCTTAGCAGCTAGCACCCAAGGACTGACGCCATGAAGGCTGTGGAATGAAGTATTCAGAGCATGTTTATTGGAGGCATTTAGATGTCAGTATTGAGAAATTGGTAGACCTAGATTGGGAGTTTCCTTCTTTGGACTTCCTTGAGGTACATACCCAGCAGTTGGATGATTCAGCCAAAAGATATGAACAGTTTTGCAACTTTTCTGGCATACTTGTATTTTCTTTTCTTGAACAGTTCTAGCTACTGTGTATTTGTATGCCTAACTTCTGTTGATTCCTCTAGTATTTTTTATCATCTTTTATCTTTTCCAATTTGATGAGTATGAGATGAAACTTCAGATTGTTTTAATTTCCACTTCTCTTATTTTAGTGCTTTGGAGAATTTTTCCATGTGTTTAATGATTGCATTTTGATTCTTTACTAGTTGATTAATGATCATATAACACATCTAAGATAGACAAATAGAAGTTTACATCTTGCCCACTGGGAATTTTAAAAGTACCTAAACTATGGAAGTATTTTCTTCATACCCTTCATCTTCTCCTTGACACTAAGAGTTCATTTTCATCAGTCTTCTCACTCTCTCCCTTCTTGTTTATCTCTTCCTCCCAACTTGACCTATTTCCTGGCCAAGAATCTTCATGGATTCTTCTTGTTCTCTGTGCTCTCCCTGCCCAAGTAGGGCCATCCTTCCTCCTCTCCTTGAATTATCTGCTCACTACTATTCATTCCCCTTCCATGGTCTGTCCTTATTCCCTGAGCTCACCCTGACCTTTGAATCTAAGTAAATAGATAAAGATAGATAAAACATTTATTAAGTGCTGACTACATGACAGGCACTATGCTAAGCACTGGGGATACAAATACAAGACAGTTTCTGCCTTCAAGAAGCTTACATTCTAATAGGAAAAGACAACATATAAAAGAGAGTGGGAAAGTGGGATGGGGACAGTGAAATGGTACAGAAGATGTCCTGAAAGTGATATGGAAGCCTGGGCCTTAGCAAGATATCAGATCCTGGTATCCCAATGGCAGAGTCCAAGTTGACAATGGGAGGGAACATGAGGGTGATGGCTGGAGTGCTGCTGCCTGGTGTGGAGATAGACAGGAATTGATACAGAAGTCTGGTTGTAGGCAGGAAAAGTTGAAAGCTCACCCATCAGAATCTAGCATCCCAGGGATTCTACTCAAAGGTTCTGGAGGGAGAGTAATGAGGATGATGGCTGAATTCAGGAAGCATAGTATGAAGATAGTCTACCATCCTCCTTACCCCTCTAGACTCCTTTACTTTGCCTTTTTCTTTCTTTTCCTATCCCCTGCCTCAGACAATGAGCTCTCTATTGGGATCCTAGGAGAGAGCCATTGCATGTGTTTTTCCTATTGTTAATCCTGAGGACAGATTAGAGGGATACCAGGAAAACTCCACAGGCAGAGAGTTGTGGAAATCCCCTTCCCAGAAGATACATTTCAGACCACTTGCTGCAAGCCACAAAAAAACTCTCACTGAGGAGAGAGAACAGGAATGTAATAAATTTGGGAAGAGAAACACTCCAAACCCACAATCTTTCAGACACCAGAAAGTCCCAGTGCAAGAGAGACCATGTGATACATTTAGCCAAACCTTCAAGCAAAATTCCAAACGAATTATCCAACAGAGAGCCCCCATAGGAGAGAAACCCTTTAAATGTACTTTATGTGAAAAGGTGTTCAGAAAGAACTCGACCTTGATAGAACATCAACGAATACACAATGGACAAAAACCTTATGAGTGTAGTGAGTGTGGGAAAACATTTTGTGCTCGCTCATCTCTGATCCAACACCAGAGAATTCATACGGGAGAGAAGCAATATAAATGTGATGTGTGTGGGAAAACCTTCAGTGCCCATTCAGTTCTTATTCAACATAATAAAATTCATACAGAAAACAAACCTTATGAATGTAACAAATGTGGAAAAGCCTTTATCCAGAATTCTAACCTTATTCAACATCTGAGAATCCACACTAGGGAGAAACCCTATGAGTGTAATGAATGTGGGAAAGCCTTCAGTGATCGCTCATACTTTATTCTTCATCAGAGAATTCACACTGGGGAGAAACCCTATGAGTGTAATGAATGTGGGAAAACCTTCAATGCACACTCATCCCTTACCCTACACCAGAGGATTCACACTGGGGAGAAGCCCTATGAATGCAGTGAATGTGGGAAAGCCTTTAGTGCACATTCAACCCTTATTCAACATCAGAGGATTCACACTGGTGAGAAACCCTATGAATGCAATGAATGTGGGAAAGCCTTCAATGCACTTTCATCTTTTATTCAGCATTATAAAATTCACACTGGTGAGAGACCCTACAAGTGTAATGAATGTGGGAAAGCCTTCCATTGTATCTCAAGTCTTAGTCAGCATCAGCGAACACATAACCAAGAGAAACACTATGAATGCGAGACATGTAGAAAGACCTTCAGGGCACGCTCCTCTTTTGTTCAGCATTGTAAAAATCACTCTGGAAAAAAACCCTATGAATGCAGTGATTATGGGAAAGCCTTTAGTCAGAGCTCTCACCTTATTTGACATCAGAGAATTCATACTGAAGAAAAACCCTATGTATGCAGTGATTGTGGGAAAGCCTTTAGTCAGAGCTCTCAACTCAGTCAGCATCAGAGAATGCATAACAGAAAGAAATACTATGAATTTAATACATGTGGAAAAGCCTTCAGTGCCTGCTCAGCCTTCATTCAACACAATAAAATCCACACATGAGGGAACTTAGGAATGTAACAAATGGACTGGTCATAGTCATCCTTGGCCTATATTCTCCATTAGAAAATAGGGAAAATCAGAAAGTATCCAGACCCCTTTCTATGTGCCATGTCAGTTGGAGCAAGAATCTAGGCAGCTTCTCCAGCCATGACAATGCAAAGGAACAGACAGGTGATCACTGAGACCTGAAAATAGCTCTGCCTCCCGTCATTCTTCCTAGAAAGAGTTTTTTCTTCACTTTTTTCCTAACCACAGCATCTGACCTTGCAGATTGAATGAAAGTGGGAAGAGAGATCTCAGAGATTTTTCCATTAAAGCAAGTTCTATAATATCCTATGGGGAATAGGACTATGATCCTCAAATTCCTAAAGGGATCTATAAGGATGGGACAGGATTCTCAAAACAGTCACTTTTTGCTTTTGTCACTGAAAACTACAGGGAAATTTATGCTGATCTTTTGTCACATATTTCTCTTGATCTTTATGGAATCATTTTTAGAAAGGAGAAAACTGAACACCTAACCAGGGGGAGACCCAGGCCTCTGTAGTTGCCATGTGAGGCCACAACAAAGCAGATAACCCTTGTGGGTGAACTGGAAGGAAGGCAAGGCTCCTGTAAACAGTTCTGTATCCTAGCATATCACAGGTGAAAGGGAACAGAAATCATTCACTCTGGTCGTGTTTCGCTTCACAGATGCATTGCTTATTCCTTAAAGGATTTGTTCAGATGATTCTTCCACTTTGAGGTACATGTAGACAATATCTAACATTTACCTCTCTACCATACTGAAACAAGAGTATTTGAGATTTGGGCATATAGAACCAACCCGATTTCTCTTAAGATGTATAAAAGCATCACTACAACCAAACTGTATTTTATATTTTTCTGGATTTCAAATAAATAACAACTAGTAAACTGAATTTCTAGTCTCTCTATTATAATGATGGCCTAAATTTTCTTCAACTACAACAGTTAATCCTGTAAGACACTAAAATGGTCTTCCAAACAAGTCCAGAAGCATATCTTGGTATTCAAAGAAACTATTATCCTTTATGTGAGCCATACATTTATGAATTGTGGGGAAGCAGTTGTGTGTTTGTGCACTTATATAGTGCCAGGAGGTTCTGTAAGAGAATAGGGAGTGAAGTTAGGGATGGCTGGGATTTTCCTTAAAAAAAAAAAAAGGCAGTCACGGGCAGCTAGGTGGCACAGTGGATGGAACACTGGCCCTGCATTCAGGAGGACCTGAGTTCAAATCTAGCCTCAGACATAACACTTACTAGCTGTGTGACCCTGGGCAAGTCACTTAACCCCATTGCCTAGCCAAAACAAAACAAAAAACAAAAACAAAAACAAAAGGGCAGTCACTAATCAGGAGAGTGGGACTTCAGGACACAATTCACCTATGGTGTGGTCTCTCGTATGGGTAATGAAGCTGAGTAGTGGTGGGATTCAGAGAATAAGTGCAAACATAACATGTTGTAAGTAAGAGGGACAGGAAGAGGTGCAAGGGTGTTTGGGTATATGTCCCTGAGCAATTTAGGGGTATAGATCTCTGAATGTTATGGATATTTTCAGATGTGGATCCATGATTTATCTCCTAAGATGAACCTTGATTTAGAAAATATGGAGAGAATAATAAGAGGTACTGAGAAGAGAAAAGCACTCCCAACTTGATCATCTAGCTAAGACTCACATAAAATGTGTTCTGGTTGGCAAAATGGATAGTGTTCAACTTGGAATCAGGAAGGCCTGAGTTTGTATATTGCTTCAGATACTTACTGGCTGTGTGAACCCTGACAGGTCACCAACTGCTGTCTGCCTCTGTTCCCTTATCTATAAAATGGGAATAATAATAGCACTTACTTCACAGGGTTATTGTGAAGACCCAATGTGATAACATAGGTAGAGCACTTTGCAAACCTTAAAGAAAAGGAGAAAGCAGAAATTAAAATCAATAAAATAGCAAATGAAGTGAAATCAGAGCAAAACCAGAAAAAAAATGAAAAGAATAATCAGAACATATTATGAGCAATTATATGCTAACAAAACTGAGAATACAAAAGACATAGAGGAATATCTTCAAAAATATAAAATCCTCAAACTATCAGAAGACCAGATAGAGATCTTAAATAACCAGACCTCAGAAGAAGAAATAGATCTAGTTGTAAGTGGACTAACACACACAAAACTGGTCCTGATGGATTCACAGGAGAATTACATCAAATTTTAAAAGAACAGTTAGTGCCCATACTTCACAAATTATTCTAAAAATTTTGAGAAAGAAAGCATTCTACCATAATCTTTTTATGAGACAAACATAGTCCTAATACCTAAATCAGGGAAAGATAAAACACAGAAAGAAAATTATTGGCTAATATCATTAATGAACATTGATTCAAACATTTTAAACAAAATCCTATCTAACAAACTATAGTGATTTATATCAGAAACAACTCATTATGACCAAATGAGATTTGTTCCAAGGTTGCAAGGGTGGTTCAACATTAGGAAAACAATCAAAACAATCATATCAGAAACCAAAACATCCAAAACCACACAATCATCTTAATAGATGCAAAAAGCCTTTGACAAAGTATATCACTCTTTTATGCTAAAAATTCTACAATTTTTTTAACCAACCTTTTAAATATCATTAAAAGTATCTATCTAAAACCAAAGGCAAACATCATATGAAATGGAGATACACTAGACTTTTTTCCAAGGATATAAATCAAGGATACCCACTCTTCCTACTATTATTTAATATAGTTCTAGAAATGCTAGTAATAGCAATAAAACAAGAAAAAGAAATGAAAGGAATAAAGAGAGATAAAGAAGAGATAAAAGTATTCCTGTATGCTGATTATATGGTGGTTTACTTGGGAAAATCTCAAATAAACCAGCAAAAATACTAATTGAGACAATTAATAGTTTAAGCAAGTGTAGACTACAAAATAAATCCTCAAAAATCAACATTTCTATATAATAGTAACAAAACACAAGAAATAACAGAAGGGAAATATCATTTCAAATAACTACAAAATGCATAAAATATCTAGGTTCTGACCTCCAAACACACACAAAAGACTTATATAGATTCAATTATAAAGTGCCACTTAAAGATATAGAGAACAACTTAAGCAGCTGGAGGAATATTCAGTGCTCACAGCTAGGCTGTGCCTATATAATAAAAATGACAATACATTCAAAATTGTTACATTTTTAATGCTATTCCAATCAAATTACTAGGGGGATACTTTTACAGAACTTGACAAAATACAAACAAAATTAATTTAGGAAAACAAAATATCTAGAATATCAATGGAAATTATGAAAATAAATCTGGATTCCCTTCAGGGAATTCCCTTCAGGGGAATAGCACTTCCAGATCTCAAACTATATAATAAAGCAGCAGTCATCAAAATTGTCTGGTATTGGCTAAAAAAATAGAGAGAAAGATCAATGGAACAGACTAGACAAGAGAGATTTAGAAATAATAGAACTCAATATCCCAGTGTTTGATAAAGGAAAAACAAATTATCTAGGAGAAACTTCTTATTTGATAAAAACTTCTGGGTAACTAAAAAGTAATCTGGCAGAAATTGGGCTTAAACCAACTTCTTATACCATATTCCATAATACAGTCAAAGTAGATGCCCATCAACTGGGGAATGATTAAACAAATTGTATTATGTAAATGTAATGGAATATAAGAAATGCATGTGATGATTACAGAGAAGTATGGAAAAGTCCATGTGAACTGATGTAGAGTGAATTAAACAGAGCCAAGAAAATATACACAGTAACTACAACAATGTTATTGGAAAGAACAACCAAAAAAACAAAAGTAAATGTAACAAAAATATAGAGATCGAGCAGAACTTGAAAGAAGAGATATGAAAAGATACACCCTCCCCCACTTACCCCTTTGTGGAGGTGGGAGATTCACAAATGTTACAAATTTCATATTTTCAGACTTTTTCAATGTATCAATCAGTTGTGCTCATTTTCTTCCCTCTCTAAAAATAAACCTATTTGTCATATGGGAAGGTTCTCTGGGAGAGGGAAGGGGGTACAGTAAGGATAACTATGGTGATGTAAGAAACAGAAAATATCAATGAAACTTTAAAAAAAAAAAGTAGTGTTAGAATGAACTTTCTATAGAAGATAGGATTTTAGTTGGGACTTAAAGGAAGCCAGGAAAGTCAATAGGTGGCAATGAGGAGATAGAGCATTTCAGACAAAGGGGACAGCCAGAGAGAATGCTGAGAGATGGAGTGTCTTGTTCGTGGAACAGTAATGAGGCCAGCATCACTGAATGGAAGAGTATGTGTTAGAGAATAAAATGTAAGAAGACTGGAAAGGTAGGAAGGGCCTAGGTTATAAAATGCTTTGAATGCCAAAAAAAGAATTTTGTATTTGATCTTGGAGGTGATAAAGAACTACTGAAGTTTATTGAGAAGGGGTGTGGGGTGGAGGGAGGGTGAGATGTTTCAGCCTGTACTTTAGGAAAATTATATTAATGGCTCAATCGATGATGGATTGGAGTGGAGAGAAACTCAAGACAGGCATACCCACCAGTGGTCTATTGCAATAGTCTAGGTGTGAGGTGATGGGGGCTATACCAGAGTGATGTCAAAGGAGAGACAGGGACATATTAGATATATTACAAAGGTGAAATTGACTAGTCTTGACAACAGATTGGATATGAGCAGTAAGATAGTGAGGAGTAGAGGATGATTCTTAGGTTGAGGGTGTGAGGGACTAGGGGGAGAGTATTGTCTTCTATAGGAATAGTATTGTCTTCTATAGCAAAGTTAGGAGGTAGGGGAGGGTTTGTTATTGTTGTTCATTCATTTAGTTGTGTCTAATTCTACGTGGTCCCATGGACTGTCCATGGGGATTTCTTGGCAAAGATATTGGAGTAATTTGCCATTTCCTTCTCCATTGTATCCCCATTTTATAGATGAGGAACTGAGGCAAATGGAGGTTAAATGACCTGCCCAAGGTCACATAGCTAGTAAATATTTGAGGCTGGATTTTAACTCAGATCTTCCTGACTCCAGGCCTGGTGCTCTATTCACTGTGCTACCTAGTTACTCTACAGAGGGTTTAGGGGAAAAGATGATGAGTTCTGTTTTGGACATATTGAGTTTAAGATATTTACAAGATATCCAGTTTGAGATGTCTGAAAGGCAGTTGGAGATGTGAGTCTGGAGGTCAGTCAAGATTCTGGGGAAGGTTAGGTAGAATTGAGAATCATCAGCATAGAGATAAATCCATGGAAACTGATAAAATCACCAAGTGAAGTAGTATAGAGAAAGAAGAAAGATGGCCCAAGACAGAACTCTGTGGGTTAGAGGACCTGAACTGGATGAAGAGCCAGTAAAGAAGATTGAGAAGGAACAGATAGGTGGAGAACCAGGAGAGAGTGGTGTCCTAAAAACCTAGAGAGAAGAGAGTATAAAGAAGGAAAGGATAATCAATAGTGTCAAAGGCTGAAGAAAGGTAGAAGAGAGTGAGGACTGAGAAAAGGCCATTGCATTTGGCAACTAAGAGGTCATTGGTAACTTTGGAGAGAGCAGTTTTGGTGAAAATGATGAAGTCAGAAGCTGGATTGAATTTCTTCTCAAAACAACCTCAGGAAGATGGCAGAAGACCCATCACAGTGCCAGCCTGGCTAGTTGCTGTAGCCACTATTGCTGACTTATTGACTAGAGGAGTCCTGGTGTTAATATTCTCTGCGTCCTAAGGAAGTTGTAAAAATTAATCAATATTTGCATTTCTCTAATTAGTAGTGATTTGGAGCACCTTTTTCATATAGCTACAGATAGCCAAGGTTTCTTCCCTTGAAAACTGCTTTTTCATATCCAGAGACACAAAACCCACTGCATAATAGAAAGGTAATAGACTAATATACAGAATAAGAAATGTATTTTTGGATGGGACCAATGTGGGAATTTGTTTTACTTGACTGTGCTTAGGTGATATGAGGATTCTATATATATTTTTTTCTATATATCTTCTTTCAATGGGTGGGGAGAGGTAGGAGGGATAAAAAATGAATGTTTGATAGTTTAAAAATACAATAATAATTTAAAATTTTTAAATGAGTCAATCACTCTCTTCTATAGTTGAGTCCCCAGCCAGAGATTGTAGCAATGGGATGAGGAAGTATGGCTATACAGTTCATATGAAAAAAATCTGCGTATTTTATGTACTGCAAACTCAATGTGACATGTAAGTAAAAACAAAAAAAAACCCTAAATTGTTTTTAGTTTGCATTAAGAAAGAATACATAGTGTCTAGGATTAGAGAAGTGATGGCCTTGCTATGTACTACTGTCTTCAGACCTTTTCTTAAGTATTGTGCTTGATGTGGGCACCATATTTTTAGAGGACATTGAAAAAAGGGAAAGTGTCAGGAGGAGGGCATCCAATCAATTAACAGTCAGGATGATAAATATTCTTGAGTTCAAACCCTATGAAAACTGGTTGAATGTACTAGAAATGTTTAGCCTAGAGAAGAGAAGACTTGCAGGGACATGACAGCTGTCCTCAAGAATCTGAAGGGCTGGTATGTTGACAGTGGATTAGATCTGCCCCAGAGGGCAGAATAGGGAGCAGAATCACAGATTCTGAGAGTTGGAAGGGACCCCAGCAGCCACCTAGTCCAAAATGAAAGGAATTCATTCTACAACATAACCAACAAGTGGCCATCTGGTCTCTGCTTGAAGATTTCCAAGGAGGGGGAACCTAGCCCCTCTAAAGCAGCCCAATCCACTTTGGGATAGCTCTAATTGTTAGGAAGTTTTCCTAACATGAAGCCTAAATTTGCCACTTCACAACTTCCACCCATTGCTTCTGGTTCTGACCTCTAGGACCAAAGTCTCCTTCGTAACATGACAGCCCTTCATATACTTGACTATAGCTATGAGTCCTCCCAGTCTTTTCTTTTCCAGTCTAAACATTCCCAGAACCTTCCACCAATTCTCTTGTGATGTGAACTCAGGGCTCCTCGCCATCCTGGTCTCCCTCCTCTGGCCATTCTCCTTCTTATCAATGTCTTTCTTACACTATGATGCCTAGAAGTGAACACAGTGCTCCAGAGGGGGTCTGACAAGAGTGAGTCCAGGGTGACTCTCACCTCCCTCCTCCTAGAAGCTCTGCCTCTCTAAATGCACCTCAAGATCTCATTGGGTGCAACAGGTGGAAATGACATTGATGCAGGTTTCATTTAGGATTAAGAAAAATTTCTTATTACAACTGGTCCAAAGTGGAGCAGCCTGTTCTGAGAGGTAGGGGAGACTGGATGGCCGCTTGCCACATGTGTCGTAGAGGGGATTCTCGTTCAGAAGCGGGTTGACTCCCTAATAGCCCTGCCAGCTCTGACACTTTGGATGGTCTGAGAATCAAGGGAGGGAGATTTGGGACGGAACCACAGAGATGGTGAAGCCTCCCTGCAGCCTAGAGAGGCTCCAGAAGGGCCCTGATTGGACAGCTTCGCAGCTAGGGGCGGAAGTAGAGGGAGCACTTCCTGTCTGGGTGGGACGGCTCCTTGGGGAAAGTTCCTGTCTGACTGTCCCCGCTGTTCCCTGTCTCTCTTTCCCCTGACCCGCCCCCTGGCGTCCCCTGAGCGGAGGGTGAGTCTGGGCCCGGGGCGGGGGAGGGACCGGGGCGTCTTCCCCCCTCCTCCCCTCCCGAAGTGTCTTGTCTCTTTCTCCCCCGGCATGGAGCGTCCATCCTGGATTGATCCCTGGCTGAGACGGGACAGACGGAGGTGACAGATTGGGGGCATCCTCAGGCGACACAGGACAGATGGAGCCCCTCGTAACACTGGACATTTGGAGAGGATGGAGAAACAGGGAGCAGCCCCTGGTGACACTGGACAGGCTGAAGGGACAGAGACATCCCCAGGTGACACAGGACAGATGGAGGGGACAGAGAGACAGGGAGCAGCCTCTGGTGATACTGGACATTTGGAGAGGATAGAGAAACAGGGAGCAGCCCCTGGTGACACTGGACAGGCTGAAAACACAGAGACGGCCCAAGGTGACACAGGACGGAAGAAGAGGACAGAGAGACAGGGAGTAGCCCCTGGTGATACTGGACATTTGGAGAGGATAGAGAAACAGGGAGCAGCCCCTGGTGACACTGGACAGGCTGAAGGGACAGAGACAGCCCCAGGGGACACAGGACAGATGGAGGGGACAGAGAGACAGGGAGCAGCCCCTGGTGACACTGGACATTTGGAGAGGATAGAGAAACAGGGAGCAGCCCCTGGTGACACTGGACAGGCTGAAGGGATAGAGACAGTCCCAGGTGACACAGGACTGATGGAGGGGACAGAGAGACAGGGAGCAGCCCCTGGTGACACTGGACAGGCTGAAGGGACAGAGACAGCCCCAGGTGACACAGGACAGATGGAGAGGACAGAGAGACAGGGAGCAGCCCCTGGTGATACTGGACATTTGGAGAGGATAGAGAAACAGGGAGCAGCCCCTGGTGACACTGGACGGGCTGAAGGGATAGAGACAGTCCCAGGTGACACAGGACAGCTGGAGGGGACAGAGAGACAGGGAGCAGCCCCTGGTGACACTGGACAGGCTGAAGGGACAGAGACAGTCCCAGGTGACACAGAACAGATGGAGGGGACAGAGAAACAGGGAGCAGCCCCTGATGACACTGGACAGGCTGAAGGGACAAAGACAGCTCCAGGTGACACAGGAAGGAAGAAGAGGACAGAAAGACAGGGAGCAGCCCCTGGTGACACCGGACAGGCTGAACGAACAGAGAGAAAGCCCCAGCTGACACCAAACAGATGGGGAACAGCCCCTGGTGACACTGGACAGACCAAAGGGATAGACAAGGAACAGCCCTGGCCCCAGGTGACATAAGACAGAGACAGGACAGACGTGATCCAGGCAGCACAGGACATAGATGGTCCAGGCATTCTACCTTACCTGGGTTCAGAAAGGACAGAAGGAGGACACAGGAAGCAGAGGTCACACAGGACAGATACTCGGGGAGCATCCATTGTGCCCAGAGCACTGGCTGAGACTGGACAGACTCACGGAACAGTCAGTAAGTGGCCCCACAGACAGCCCCAGATCACACAAGGCAGAGTAGCTGCCCTAATCTCCCATCCCCATCTCCCTCTCAGGATACCAAGGACACTTTGGGTGTGAGGATGACAAAGGGTTATTTCTACCCAGGTCACCGTGTCAGGGAAAGGGTAGATTTATTGTCTGGCTGTGTCCAGCCTTGGGATAAGTCTTCCTGTGGTCTCAAACTTAGTATAAACTACGGATTTCACTCAAATGGTATAGAAAAAGCTAAGGAGATTCTGAGAGAAGGAGCTATCAGTCTAAGGGAGACTGGTCAGGGAAGGGAGATTATCTGGAAGGAGAAAAGACCTGAGTAGAGGCAGATTGTTTTCAGGCTGTTTTGTTCCCCAGTGTACAAAGAAGCTGTTATTCAGGGATCTTGGCTTTCCCTCTGAGGTGGCCTCTGGCCAACACCTGACGAGGCCCATAGTCTTTTGCCCCTCACAGTTGGTGGCACTCTGAACCATTCATGCCAATAGTTTGTAGGGCACACCATCATGAGGGCCATCAGTCCTAAGAGTGCATTATCATTTTGTTATGTAAGTAATCCCTGCTCTCTGTGCTGTAGCAGCAGTAAAGCAAGGGACAGGGCTGTTCTGGGGCCTCCCTGAAGTCCTATCTGTGTTTTCTATCTGGCTTGTTCTACAGTTAAGGGCCAAGATCTTCTTGGTTCTTGATTCTGCTCTTGGCTTTCTTTGTCCATAGCAAGTTATGTTCCCAGGGGCAGCTAGATGGCTCAGTGGATAGAGTGCTGGGCCTGGAGTCAGGAAAACTTATCTTCCTGAGTTCAAGTCACTTAACCCTGTTTGCCTCTGTTTCCTCTTCTGTCAAATGTGCTGGAAAAGGAAATGGCAAACCACTACAGCATTTCTGCCAAGAAAACCTCAGAATGGTGTGATGAAGAGTAGGACATAACTGAAATGACTCACTAACAACAAAAAATTACATTCCCAGACAAAATCTTGACAGAAAATAATAATACTAACTCATATGTATATTGCCAGGTGCGCTCCTCACAGTAATTCTGTAAAATAGGTAATATGAGCACTATTATCTCCATTTTACATGAGGATCTGGGGACAAAGATGGCAGATTTGAGACTCAGAGAGAAGTGATTTACCCAGGGTCACATAATTAGGAAACAGCAGAGGTAGGTTGTGAAATCAAGCCTCTCCTGACCATGTGTCCCCTGCTCTTTTTCTAGCTTCCCCGGAGCATATCAGGTAACCAGGCCCACAGCAGTGGGGCTTGGAAGGAAGTGGGTCCTCCCATTGTACCTACAATGAGGGGTGAGGAATTCCAGGATGAGCTAATGGGAGAACCTTGGAATACAGGTAGTCTGTCTCCATTCCTTTCTCTCCCCTCAGCCTTGCTGGTTCCTCGGGTTCCTGCTGACTGTCTGAGATGAGCCCAGGAGACCAAGTCATAGTGGCCAGCCCCCTGCCATCTGGGCCCCAGGTGAGATGCCCTTCCTGAGACTCCATCACTGCTGTGGTCCCAGTTTGACCTCAGCTCCTTTCCTCAGCTTTTTGGCTCAGTGACTTCCCCATACAAGGCTCCAAGACCCATTTCCAAGAAGAGACATTGTGATACGGTAGAAGGAGGACTAGACAGGAAATGAGGAGACCTGGTCTGTAGTCCTTCCTACCACTGATTAGCTACCTGCCCTTGGATTAGTAACTCTTTGGACAAATCCATGTCTCAGTTTCCTTATCTACAAGGAGAGGACTATGTCAGCAATCTCTAAGGTTCCTTCCAGCTCTATCATCATTCTGTGATTTCTTTCCTCTGAGCCTCCCTACTCTCCAGTTCCAACAGAGTTTGCAGACACAGGCCCTGTGACCTCTAGGGCTCCCAGCTCTGTGTTCTTGGTCCCTGTTTGGGAGGGGGTGAGGAGGAGGTCACTTTTCAGGCCCCTTCTCTCCTGGCCCGTAGGCGGCAGTGTCATTGAATGCAAGCTGTAGCCCATATCCCTGGCAGCCTGCTGAGCTAAGTTCCTTCTCATGGAACAGTCAAGGTCTCTTGGTGACCTCTATATCATTTCATTTAGGGAGAGGGAAAGGTGTGGCTGGGACCTTACTCTTTCAGATTCTCAAAACCAGAGAGTTCTTTTCTGGAAATGATTCCCATTTGTTCTCAGGCCTGGTGAGCTGAGAGCATAGGGACACTCGCACATACATGTAAGCACACATATATGTATGCGCACATACATACATACATACATACATACATGCATGCATGCATACATACATACTAAGAGCCTTGATGCACACAAATCTCAGCTGGTCTTCCAGGCTCAACTGCATGCGCCTGCACACATACAAACACACACATACTTGAACTATTTACACCTTTCCTTCTCCACAAACTGCTGTGCCTGCCCCCCTACAATCACCTTGTGTCTGAGCCCTGACACTTCACCTAGGCCTACAGTAGGACTGTGTTGTTGTATCAGGTGTCTGTGATGTTTGAAGACGTGGCCGTGTACCTCACCGAGGAGGAGTGGGGCTGCCTGAGTCCTGCTCAGAGAGGTCTCTATAAGGACGTGATGCTGGAGAATTATGGGAACCTAGTCTCACTGGGTAAAGTCTCTCCTTTCCCCTACTCACCTAGACCCCATACTTAAGCTTCTTGGCTTCCTGCCTTGTGAATAGCCATGACTTCTGAAGGGCTTATTTGGGTTTGGGTGTGGAATTCAGGGAGCAGATATCCCTAATCTCATCCAAGTTCGGAGACACAGAGTTTTTCCTCTAAGTTCCTGGGCTCCTGGACCCTCAACCTCTCTCTGAGTTTGAATCTTCCCTCTCCTTGATACCTGAAACCCCAGCACTCTTCCCCCAGGGTTCAGTACAGATACTCCATTAGGTAGGACTGTTGTACCTTTGTGGTAGGCCAAGGACCCTTGAGATAATTGCTTTTCCCTAGCAAGATTGCCAACTTTTCTGCCCAGGATAGCACAATTATGACACCTTTCCAGAAGGTGCGCAGACTTTCCTTGAGCCTTCCTGTCATGGCCTCTCTGGATATTTCCCTTTTCCCTTCTGTTCCCTCAGACCCAGGGAGTTAGGACTGTTTCATGTATCCATCATAAACCACTAGATCATGTTTCCTTCTGTGTAAGCAGGATTTCCAGTGTCCAAACCTGACGTGATCTCCCAGCTAGAGCGAGGGGAAGAGCCATGGGTTCTCAACATGCTGCAGAGGGCAGAAAAGAGAGAGATTTTGAGAGGCAGCTGCTCAGGTGAGTAAGAGTCTTTACTCTGTTGGTCTTTGGACACCATAGTAAAAATATGCATTATGTGATGATTGTCATCATTGGGGCTTAGGGTCACTCCCTAACCATCCTGGTTTCCCTGGAGTGGTGTCTAGATATCTTGGTAGATGGAAAACTCACTGAGTCACCAGTGGCCATGACAGCCAGAGAAAGCTGCTGGGCTCTCTGTCTATACTGAGAGAGGCTTAGAGTCCAGAACATGGGAGATAATAGTCCTGTTGTGCTCTGCCCCTAGCAGACCATACCTATACTGCAGGACTCAGTGCAGAGTGTCCAGAAGGAGGAACTCCTTGAAGGAGCCAGGTAAGGGGGGCACATGATAGCTGTCTACAAATATTTGAAGGGAAGGCTGTCATGTACAAGAGAATTAGGTATGTCTTGTTTGGCCCCAGAGGATGTAACTAGGAATAGTGGGTAGACATTTCAGAAATGGAGATTTAAGCTAGAGAGATGTCACAAAAACCTTCACCATGATTAACATAGTCCAGAAGTAGACTGGGCCACCTTGGAGGGGATGTAGGGGGTGCAGGTTCCCCTTTACTGAATGACTTCAAACAAAGGCTGGATAACCTTTTGTTGGGGATGGCATTGAAGAGGTTCTCAGTCAGATTTCAGGTAGACCAGGTGGCTTCTTCGAACTTGGAGATTCTGTGTCTCTATCTGAGTGACTTTATTTGAGTAGTTTTGCAATTTATAACCTCAGTGAGCTGATCAGCAAGTTTACAGACAAATCTATTCACTGTGGACTCTGTTAGACATCTCTGTCCCTGACCAGGAGCTTTTGTTCCCTAATCGAAATGCCTGGTCCAGACATCCAGACATTCTCTCTTAACTGACTGTCTGCTTCTCATTTGCCCACGCCCTCTAATGTCCCTGCCTTTAATCTGCAGCAGTTCTGAAACCCTCAAGTGTGCACCTAAGGCCTATTATTTCCTGGTCATGAGTTCACAGTCCCTGCTAATTTGCATGATGGAGAAAGAACATTGGACTTGGAGTCAAGGAGCCTGTGTTCAAATCTTGCCTCTGCTACTTACAACCTCTTGTACCCTGAGCAAGTCACCTCAATCTCAAAATCAGGCAGACTAGCTGATTTCTGAAGTCTCTTTCAACTCCAAAACCTAGAACAGCATAGTGCTTTCTAGGTATCTTTTGGTAGTATTTGCACTTAGTGTATTTAGTGTATTCTAAAACCCTTATGCAAAAAGTAATCAGCTTTACTCTGCTATAACTTGCCAAGTCTGCAGAAATCCAGATTTCCAGCTATTTTTTTTTTGTCTCTTCCTCTCTCTGTTCTTCTTATGCTTGTGTCAGGTGCTGGCTCCTTGTTTCTGGCGTCTTTGCTGTGCCACTATCTTTCCTTGAGGGGAGCCCAGAACTGAATATAGCAGGGAGATTATCCAGCAAGCTGTTGCAGGAGTCCAGGTGTGAGTGATGAGGGCCTGCACCAGGGCAGTGGCAGTGGCAGAGTAGGGAAAGGGCATATTTGAGAAATGTTATGAAGGTAAAAATCAGCAGGCCTTGGGTGTGGGGAGTGGGAGAGAATGAGGAGTCGAGGATTACACCTAGGTTGTGAGACTAGAGGACTGTTGAGGTACACTGAGCTTTTAGTCAACCAAAATCCCTATTTATAAAACTATTTCCTAGCCATCTCTTTCTCATTCTGTACTTGTACAATTCATTTTTTTTTAATTCAAAATCAGGGCTTTATATTTATCCTTAATGAATTCCATTTGATTTGATTTGATTTATTATTCCAGTCTAGCAGAAACTTTCCATATACTGATTCTATCATCTAATGTATTGTGTTTCCCACCTAGTTTTGTTTTGTTTTTCAATCATCCATGGAATTGATAAGCATATCAGGTTTTGTTCAGTCGACATCTGGACTGTCTTTTGCATCTGACCCATCCTTTAAAGTCGTCATTACAGCCACACTTATTTAGCAACTTATCTCTCCTCTCCTTGACTATTGTAATAACTTCCTAATGGGTATTTCTGGTATGTCTTTCTCCTTTGCTTCCTCATTTTTCCTCACTGATGCCTGAGTCATCTTCCTAGCTGGCTGCTATAATCATACCATTCCTCTAGCTAAAAACTTTCAGTGGTTCCCCATTGTCTGCAGAATAAAGTATAAATTCTTCGTTCTGGCATTTCAGGCCCTCCACAGTCTAGCTCCAATCCACCCTTCCAACCTCATGTTGCTCCCCTCCATGTCTTTTATGTTCCAGACAAACTGGAATCTTTTCCATTTCTTTACCTGTGCTCATGCCTAGAATGGACTCCCCAATACCCCTGTCTCCATTGAGGTCTCTCATTTCCTTCGAGACTGAACTCTATGCGACCTTCCCCCAAATAAAAATAATCTCTCCCTTTTCACCTTTTTGGTAACACTTGCTTGGAACTGCCTTCTCACATTTTTCATAATTTTTGCATTTAATACATTTATTAATATTATATTAATACATATATGTATTACACATATAATACATATATTAATACATATCCCTTTTATCATAGTTATTTGTGTACATATATTTTCTCCCACTGTGACGTAATTTTTTATAATAGGGTCCATGTCATATCTGTCTTTGTATCCCTCTCACCTCCTTCATAGTGCCTAACACTATTAGCATGAAGCACAGTGAATAGAGCACCTGGACTTGGAATCATGAAGACTTGAGTTTAAATTCTGCTTCTTACAGTGTGTGACCTTGGGCAAGTCTCTTAATCTCTGTATGCCTTAGTTTCTTCATCTGTAAAATGAAAATAATAATAGTACCTGCCTCCCAGGGTTGTTGTAAGGCTAAAATGAGATAATAATATTTGTTAAGTGCTTTGTAGATCTTAAAATGCTATACATGTGCTAGCTGTTATCATTATTATTATGATGATTAGCTTAATAACTATTTAAATGAAATTAATAAGTAGCCAGAATTTATATGTGCTTTGCATATGTTATCTCTTTTGATGAAATGAAAATGTTATAGCTTACCCATGGTAGAATGGGATTATGGGAAAGAAAGAAAGCCAGAACTTTTAAAGAATTTCACTGAATAAAAGAATTTTGTGTCGATTCTCTCTTCTTCTGCCCTCAAACTAAAACAGAACCTTTCCCAGTCATCTGGGAGTACCTGAATGCTCATATCCCAGGCCCTTGGTTACCTCCCTGCCTCTATCTTTCCCACCTTCCACCTCTGAGATTTGCTCATTTCCTCCTCACTAAGCCTATTTTCTTGGTCATTTTTATTAGAATATGGGCCTCTTGCCCATTAAAACCCCTGGAGACTTGTCTCAGTCCTGGGTCAAACCCCCATAATCCTTTTCTTTTTTCCTAGGGCCCCCAAGGTGGGTTAACTTGGTGTCTTCTGACTGCTAACCACCTATTCTCCTTCTAAGCCCTTTGTGGAATGGAATTTAGTTTCACACAATCTTCACCCCACCTGTCTCTTCTTGAAGCAAACACAAAGCCCTCTTGAGATCTTCTAAGAGCCATCACTACTAGTAACTCCATGGAAAAGATTGAGTATTTAATCAATAAGTAAATTTTAAAATTGTAAGAAGTCTTTAAATTATTAAATAATAGTTATCAGTGGTGTTTATTGGACTTCAGGAAAGGTCACACCTGATCTTTCTTAGCCTCTTCATAGATCCATTTCCTCATCCCTTTCTTTTGGAATAGTTGTTTCTAGGTCCCTGCCTGCTAGGTTTCATGCTCTTCCCCCATACTACTGTTTTTCTTGCCCTATGTATACTAATAGTAGATAATTGGGTCCACCAGGAGCTCAAAGGTTCATTTGTCCAAGGAAATTCTAAGCTCCTAGTCTCTATATCAGCATCTTACTTCACACAAGAAATTTATCACTCACACATTTCTGTTCCTATTCGATGGACTGTCCTCAATCTCTGGGATCACTTTTGTTCTCTGTGACCACCATTTCTATCACTACTTAACTTATTTTGTGCCTCTCACCTTCTCTCATTTCTCAACTCCTTCCACCCTGAGCTGTCTTCTTTTTCTTCTAAGGTCAATGTACTCCTTGCTCTCTTCCCTTACTGTGAGACTGATCCCAGATTATTTCAATATCACGTACTCTTAGGAAATAATTTTTAATGTAGATTTTCATCTTCCTAACCCAATACTCTTCTTTGTCCCAGAATAAAAAACAGGTGACATTTACCTTTCGATTTTGTCATTTCAGATTATGTAGCCAAGACTCAGAACATAGAGCTGTCTCTAAAGAATGAAATTTCAGAAGAAATGGAATCACAGTGGCTGAGAGCAGAAAAAATCACAAGGGATGTTTCCAAGGGACTAAGGCTTAGAGAAGCCTGGGAAAGTGAGGCCATATTATGGAGAGATGAAGGAAGTCACACTGTGGAGAGATTAAAGAAATCTCTTTCCAAAGAGAATAGTTTCAGGCCAATGTTAATCATCCAGGAAAAAATCTCCATAGTAGAGGGAGAGCAGAAACATGACAAATGTGGAAGAATCTGCGATCAGAATTCAAACACTGTTTCATACGAAGGATTTCCTATAGGAGAAGAACACCATCAATGTGATATATATGATCAAAACTTCAAACATAATTCACATGTTAACAACATATCTGAAAAGCCATGTAAATATAATGATTCTGGAAACTTCTTCAATTGTAATTCAACCTTTAATGTACAACAGAGGATTCATTCTGGAGGGAAGCCTCGTGAATGTAATGAATGTGGGAAAGCCTTCAAAGGGAGTTCAGACCTTATTAGACATCAAAGATATCACACTGGAGAGAAGCCCTATGAGTGTAATGAATGTGGGAAAGCTTTCATTCAGATTTCTAACCTAATTCAGCATCAGAGAATTCATACTGGAGAAAAACCCTATGAATGTAGTGAATGTGGGAAAGCTTTCATTCAGAGCTCTAACCTGATTCGACATTACAGAAAATGCCATGGAGAAAAACCCTATGAATGCAATAAGTGTGGGAAAGCCTTCAGTGAACGCTCAATCCTTATTGAACATCACAGAATTCATACTGGAGAAAAACCCTATGTATGCAATGAATGTGGAAGAGCCTTTGTCCAGAGCTCAAACCTTAGTCAACATCAGAGAATTCATACTGGAGAAAAACCCTATGTGTGTGATGAATGTGGGAAAGCCTTCAGGCAGAGCACTAACCTTATTCAACATCAGAGAACACATAATGGAGAGAAACCTTTTGAATGTAGTGAATGTGGGAAAGCCTTCAGACAGAGCTCACACCTTCGTCAACATCAGAGAATACATAACTTTCAACACCAGATAATACATAATAGAAGGAAACCTTATGAATGTAATGAATGTGGAAGAGCCTTCAGTCAAAATGCACATCTCATTCAACACCAGAGAATTCACACTGGAGAGAAACCCTATGAATGTGGTGAATGTGGCAAAGCCTTCAGTGCACAATCTACACTTATTCAACATCATAGAATTCACACTGGAGAGAAACCCTATGAATGTAATGAATGTGGGAAAGCCTTCAGGCAGAGAACACAACTTATGGAACATCAGCGAATTCATACTGGGGAGAAACCATATGAATGTAGTGAATGTGGAAAAACTTTTAATCATAGCTCCAACCTTATTCACCATCGGAGAATTCACACAAAAGCATAGTCTTATGAGTGAGATCTTTCAAAAATTCTTTTTAAAAATTGTTCAACTCACATTGTGCCTCTACTCCCTGTTGTGCCTCAGAGACCACCCCCAGGGCCACAGTTTAACTCTCTGAGTCTGTATGTGGATGGGCCAAAATAATATTCAATTATTGTTAACTTTTTAACTGTATTTATAATTAGAGAAGGAGGTGAAGGAGTAACTACAGAAGAGCCCAGTAAATGCCTTTAAGCCAAGGGGATTTTTATTGCACTGATCCTCATAACTTAGCACATATGCCTTTCCCCCCTTACCCATGGTCTGCCTCAGTCAATATTAGCTTTATATTGACTTGGAAATCTGGAAATGTGAACAGGGAATTGGGGCACCCAGTTCCTGTATCCCTAGGTTGGAGGATGATGTCATCCAAGAACTGCCTTCCCTTTTCCACTTTTGTTTTTCTTAGAGAACCCAGAAGTCTAGCTGGTCTGCAGGGGAGTAGGTAAAAGATAGGAAAGGGAGAGGAGCAGAGTGTATGGAGTGATTATAAATTAACCTTAGAACTGAACTAAATCATTTCCCCCCCATGGTTTTCTTTCCCAGCTTACTCATTTCCATAAATTGTACCAACATTCTCCTAGTTACTTGGATTCAAAATCTCAGGGTTTTGTTTTTTTTTTTTAATGCTTTCCTCTTTTTTTTTTTTATCAGTTAGTTAATGATATTTATTGAGCCCTATAAGGCACTGTGTGTGGCACTATAGGGGAAAGAAAGACATATACCATGTGCCCCCTGCTATCAAGGATCTCAGACACATAGATGTATGGGGCACAGAACAGGTGCCTGACCACATCCTTATCAGTGCTTCCAAACCCAGTGGAGCAATCTGGTGTGTGGATCTGAAAAATATTAACAGAAATTAAATAGTATGTAGGAGTATCTGGATTTGAAATAAGAAAGAATATTCGGAATGAAGGAATGAATGAGAGTATGGCTGGAAAAAAAAAAAGATAATTGACCAAGCCTTGATTCAAGTCTAATTTTAGAGGAACAACCAAATATTCTCATCCTGGATTACTACAGCAACTGGATTTCATTCTTGCACTTGAAATCAGAGATACCTGAATACAAATTTACCTTTTGACATTTACTAGCTTTGTGGCTGTAGGGTTACTTAACCCCAATAACTCTTCTCCTTTGTAAAAATGTGCATAGCAATATCTGTAGTATCTACCTCATAGAGTTGTTTTGAGACTGAAGTAACTATGAATGTCAGTTATTCCTCAATATGGACCTTCTCTGTTCCAACTATACTGGTCTATTTACTGTCCCTTTCCCATATCAGTGTATCCCTTCTTGGCCACATTTTCTTACACCATTCATCCCTGCCACAATCTATCCAAAGTGTCTCCTTTGTCAGGTTCTTATCACCTTTCACTCTATTGTACCAGCTTCATCATTAGTCTTGCTTGCTATCTTTCTGTTCTTCAATTTATCCTCCACACAGATGCTAAAATAATCTTCTTAAAGCAAATAAGGGTCTGACAGAATCAGTCCCTGCTCAAAAGCTTACAGTGCCTCTCTGTTGCCTTTAGAATGAAATACAAACTCAACCTAGTGTTGAAAGCCCTCTACAGTCTGGCTCTGATCTCCCTTTTCAGCTTTATTTCAAATTGTGCACCCTATATTCCAACCTAATTGGACTCCTTGCTGTCCTTCAAACTTGGAATTCCATCTCTTACCTTCATTTTAGCACAAACTATCCCACTCAATTAAAACATACTCCCTCCTCATCTCTTTCTACCGGAATGATTAACATTCCTTCAAAGTTCAGCTTAGCCATTATTTTCTTTGTAAAACTTTCCTTAATTTACCCAGTCAATTGGCTCTCCCTTCTCAAAATATCTTGTATTTATTTATCTGTGTACATAGGGTATTCTCTTTCCCCTCCCCACCACCAGTAGAATTCGAGCTCCTTGAAAACAAAAAGAATTTTATTTTTGTCCTTACACCCCTAGCCCCTAGTACAGTACTTTGTATAAAGCAGGTGCTTATTAAATGTTTGTTGAATGAATGAATCCATGGCTTCAAAGCCCAGCTCAAATCCTGCCTTTCCATAAAGCTTCCCTAAGTACTCTAGGCAAAAAATATTTCCCCTTCCTCTGAACTCATGTTATTGGGATGATTTATTTGGCTTAACTATGCACACTGTTTCACATTATTTAACTTCCCATATGTGCTTTTGAACATTTCATTTCACATATTGTATTGTAAACTCCTAGATGGCAGACCACGTACCGGATTTCTTGGTACAGTGGAAAGAACACAGAGCTCAGAGCTCAGAGGTCAGAAAAAATTGGGTTTAAATCCTGAATCTTCTATTTACTAGTTAAGTGACCTTGAGCATGTCACTCAACCTCTTTTGGCTTCAATTTCCCCATTGGAAAAGGTAAATCCTATTCATACTACCCACCAACTAAGGTACAGTGAGGAAAACATCATAAATTGTAATGTGAGCTGTCCAATACTTGTTGAAGGAATCATGGATCAATTTAATAGGTGTTTATTGAATACCTATTATGGACCTGGGGTGTGTATGCTTATATGTATGTAAATAGGAGGTGAAAACATGCCCTCCAGATGTTCTTAACATGTGAAACAAACAATAATACGCAGTATATAGTCACTTGATAGCTGAAGTATGGGACAATAAGTGCTAGACTTCAGAGGGAGAACTCAGTGTATTAGAGTAGACTAGTCAGAAGAATTGTAACTGCAATGATCAAGCTGTAGAGCAGGTCTGCACAATATTGCAGCCACCAAAGGATTTCGAGGGGCCCAAAATGCAAATCCCTCAGCAAAACTAACTGCACAACATGGGGCCACTTGCACCTGCCAAAGGATTTGGGGTCCTCAAAAAATGTAGAGAATGTAAAACTGGCCTGCACAACATCTGGCCTGTGGGCCACTTTGGCAGGGTGTATGTCCTGTGGGGCTCCTCTAGAGAGAAGGGGCTGTTGAGTAATCTTAAGAGTCACAAAACCTGTGTTCAAGATGCAGCATTTTCTAAGCTGCATGTTCTCTGCATTTGGGGAACTAATTTTGAGAGGCTGCAGGGGTTATCATTCTCTCCTTTCTATTCCCCACTATTTAGTAACAAATGCTTTCTAAATAAATGGTTATATGGTAAATCTGCCAGCATATCAGAGAGGTGAAAAAAGTCTGTTGTGCATAGATATATATCTTATCAAAATTATTTTGAAAGTTATAGAAACAGCCATCTGGGTATCTAGTTAAAAGGTCAGAGCTAAGAAAACAGCTGCTATAATTCTGCCAAGTACTTCCAGGTTCCAAGCCAGCCATTGGTGGTCACATGGCTACCAACATCCATGAATCAGTTTGTGGGATGACAACAACATGAGAAGGATATTTGGCTCTGTCCACCTTATTTTTGAAAAGGGAGGTGGGACCTGTGATTTCACCAAGGTAGGAAACGCTTGATGAGGAACTTTGTTTACCAGCATATATGGGAACCTTTTCTACCGCAGCATTAGAGAATCACCTAGGGCACTGAGAGGTTAAGTGACTTCCCTGGGGCCATACAGCCACTAGGTGTCAGAGGTGGGACATGAACCCAGGTCTCCCTACCCTCCAAAGTCAGCTCTCTATCCTTACACCCACTGCCTCTTTCCTTTTCCCCTTGTTTAGAATAAAAGTTCCATTTTTGATGTATGTTGGTGACACGTTCCTAATGTTCCCACTTTTCAGGGTTCCTAAGACAATGATTGACTCAGACAGGAACAGTTAGACTTAGGGTTGAAATTTTTGAAGCCTGTCTTATTGAAGGCTTTGGGCTGCAGTCTGTAATACAACCACCACTTCTTCTTGGTCATCTTTACATCCTTAGAGTTAAGGGGGCCCACTGCTCTGCACAAATGACTATTATCTATCCAACTGTAGCCCTTTGAGAGTTTCGACAAGGGACCTTGTGGCCCAGAAATACAAGGGTGACAAATACAAAAATGCTGAAGCAAAAAGGATACTGCAATTATATATTTATATACTTATATCTACACACATAGAAATAATGTATACACATGATGTACATGCTATCCAGTGCAGACATTCTATTTGAAATCTGCAAAGGGCATATAATATTGTTCATGCAGCAACTTTTAGGGTATTTCTTTATCTCTCAGAAGCTTCTGAAAGAATTAGTTCAGCCAAGAAGAAAAATCAGAGCTTTTATTTAATATTTCTTATATTGTATTTGTGAGATAAACTCAAATGGCTATAATAACAAGGAATCAGAGTAGGCACCCATGGCACTTCTTAAAGAGCCGCTGAACTGTGGCGTGTGAATGTAATGGCATGTTACTGTACTGTAAGAAACAGTGAATGGGAGGAATTCAGACAAACATGGTAAAAACTCATACGAATTGACGCTCTGAAGTAAGCAGAACCAGAACGCAAATAACTATGATAATGTAAATTAAGACAAAACTACAAGTCAGTCACACTGGTAATTATAATGGTCAAACTCAGTCCAGGAGAACAGGAACATCAAAGTACTCATACTAGCACTTTTTGTGATAGCAAAAAAAACTGGAAACAAAGTAGGTGCCAATCAGGGAACAGTTAAACAAATTGTGATATGTGGATTTAACGTCTTAAGAAATAGCAAATAGTGATTCAGAGAAATATGAGAAGACATAGAAACTCATGCAGAGCAAATAAGCAGAAACAGAACAATGAACACTCTAATAATATAAATGTAAAAAACACTAAAAGCCACTTGGAACTTATATTAACTGCAATGATATACTGAGTGTGTGCATGAGTGCATACATGAGAGAGAGTCAGACTTTTGCTTTAGGAGGATCTAGGGGAACCAATCAGCAAGTTACTGCTATAGTCCAGACATGAGGTAATAGCTTTTCCCAGGCTAGTGGCAGTGTCATGGGAGAGGAGTATGTACAAGAGACGTCATAAAGCTAGAATTGACAGGATTTTTCAACTGATTAAATATGGAAGATGAGAGTGAAGTTGGGTGAAGAGACAGTTTTAGTTGAATGATTAGGTTGGAAGCTGGACCACAGAGAGTTAAGAGAGAGGAAAGTAAG